ATCTTCGAACCCCTTCATTTCTGACTTCTGATCTGTCTGCGCTGACATACTTCGATAATTAAGGTGTTTAGTGGCATTGGAACCTAACCACTCAATCATAATAGTCGAACACGAGATAACTGGGAAAATACATATTTAATTTTTAACGCGGAAATATATCCAACAATGGGGAAGGGAGAAATAAAGACTTCAATGAATTCAAATTCATCTAATGGCATGGTTCCACCTTTCAGGTATGATTATTCTTGCATAGCTTTTATTCATATTAAATATATTGTTCTATCGCCAGCCTGAGTGTGTTTTCCATCACATATTGGTGATTGTTACGATACGATGAGTCGATGAAGACAATGATATGACTTCCACATAAGATCTTACAGATTAGGTCGTTACATCATGACAAATCTACAATTTTAGGGTTAGGTCTATTGTTGCAGACGCACAACCAACAAAGTAGACTATAATTCCTCAAGTGTAATACGCAAAAATATTGCTAAACTCCGAATACCTGTTGCATATTAACAGTTTGGTGGCCAAAGTTTCGCCATCTGAACGTATATGAACTTTCCGGTTTCTGATCATCATCAACAGGTACAAAACAGTTCTGAGGACTATCAATCAACAAGCTTAACCTGCGTGGTTGTTAAAATTTTAGAACAGATCATTTTGAAGGCGCTGTTTATGTATCTCGTTGAAAACCAAATTCTTTATGAAAAACGACATTCCCTTACAATATGTTATTCATGTCTAACTAACTTAATAGTGGCTCGTAAAAGTGGTTGCGCTCTTAAAGACCAAAAGCTACCTAAAAACGTAGGCTACATCGACTTCAGCGAAGCTTTTGACAAACGTTCTCACAAGCGGCCGCTATATAAGTTAAGGGACATCGTTATTGATGACAATTTATAAATGTGGATAAAAGACTTCCTAGTTTGTTGGCAAAAAAAGATCACAGGTGAACTTTAATTTGTCTAGCTGGAAAACCAGGAGTAGCGGAGTGCCTCAGGGTACGGTTTGATGACCAGTGTTATTTCGCTTGTATGTAAATGACTTCCTCGTCTTATATCACCAATAATTTTGCTATATGCTATGTCAAGATATGGAGAGCGATGAAGTATGAAGGAAATGATCTGACGAAGTTAATTGAATGGTCTAAAATTTGGCAGTTGCCTACAGAAGCTTCCAAGTGCATTGTGATGCTTATTAGTCACCAAGGTACAGATATTTACTTACTACTTACTTTCGCCTGTTACTCCCAATGGAGCATAGACCGCCGACCAGCATTCTCCAACCCACTCTGTTCTGGGCCATCCTTTCTAGTTCTATCCAACTTTTGTTCATTCTCCTCATGTCTGTCTCTATTTCTCGGCGTAATGTGTTCTTTGGTCTTCCTCTTCTCCTTTGACCTTCAGGATTCCATGTGAGGGCTTGCCTTGTGACACAATTGGGTGATTTCCTCAGTGTGTGTCCTATTCACTTCCAGCGCTTCCTCCTGATTTCTTCCTACGCTGGAATCTGATTTGTTGTCTCCCACAGTAACTTGTTGCTGATAGTGTCTGGCCATCGGATCCGAAGTATCTTGCGTAGACAGCTGTTAATAAACACTTGTATCTTCTGGATAATGGCTTTCGTAGTTCTCCACGTCTCCGCCCCATACAGTAGAACTGTCTTGACATTTGTATTGAAAATTCTAACCTTGGTGTCGGTTGACAATTGTTTTGAGCTCCAGATGGTTTTCAGTTGTAAGTATGCTGCTCTTGCTTTGCCGATCCGCGCCCTCACATCTGCATCTGATCCACCGTGTTCATCAATGATGCTGCCCAGATATGTAAAGGTTGCCACATCCTCCAAAACTTCTCCGTCAAGTGTAATTTGATTGGTGCATATTGTATTGTATCGGAGAGTCTTGCTTTTCTCTTTGTTTATATTGAGACCTACTGCTGCTACACTGGTCGTTTTCTCCTGCATTTGTTGTTGCGTTTGTAATAGAAGAGCCAGATCATCCGCGAAGTCTAAATCGTCAAGCTGCATCCTGCCTGTCCACTGTATCCCGTGATTTCCTCCAGATGTTGACGTCTTCATGATCCAGTCGATGACCAGGAGAAAGAGAAAAGGTGAGAGTAAGCAACCTTGCCTAACACCGGTCTTTACTTCAAACGAGTCGGTGAGTTGTCCTCCGTGGACGATTTGGCAGTTTAGTCCATCATAGGAGTTCCGTATGATATTTACTATCTTCTCAGGCACACCGTAGTGTCGAAGAAGCCTCCATAGTGTCGTCCTGTCCACGCTAGAGTAGTGACGAATTCCATTAAATTGATTGTTCCACAATGATACGTAGAGTTGCGATTTATTCTGCACACGATCTATCCTTACGAAATCCAGCTTCTTGATCTCGAAGTTAGGCGTCCACGGAATCCTTCATTCTGTTTAACAATACTCTGTTGAAGACTTTCCATGGTATTGAGAGGACAGTGATGCCCCTGTAGTTGCCGCACTTGTTAAGATCGCCTTTCTTTGGTATCTTGATCAGAAGTCCTTTTTTCCAGTCTGTTGGTACTTGTTCTTCATCCCAAATCTTACTGAAGAGAATGTGGAGTATCTTGACAGTTGCTGCTACATTTGCTTTCAGTGCCTCTGCCGGGATGTTGTCTGGTCCCGCTGCTTTGCCGCTCTTGATTTGTCTAATGGCCATGCTGATCTCTTCAATTGTTGGTGGGCCAATATCGATTGGGAGGTCCGTGGGTGCTGCTTCGATGTTGGGTGGGTTCAGTGGAGCTGGTCGATTCAAGAGTTCTTTGAAGTGTTCTACCCACCTGTTTCGTTGTTCTTCAATGTCGGTGATTACTTAGCCTTCCTTGTTTTTCACTGGTCTTTCTGGCTTACGGTAATTTCCAGCAAGTTTCTTTGTTGTATCATACAGTTGTCTCATGTTTCCCTCTCTTGCAGCCTTTTCCGCTGTCATCGCTAAATCTTCCACATATTTAAGTTTGTCGGTTCTGATGCTCCTCTTCACTTGCTTGTTTGCCTCTGTGTATTCGGCTTGTGCCTTGGCTTTTTCCGCTCTGGTTCGGCTGGTGTTGATTGCTGCCTTCTTGTTCCTCCTTGCTTCAATCTTATCCAGTGTACCAACAGTGATCCATTCCTTGTGATGGTGCTTCTTTTCGCCCAGAACCTCTTGACATGTTGAAACGACTGCCTCCTTGATACCTTTCCAGTTGCTCTCCAGGGTAGTCCCCTCTCCATTGAGTAGATCATGAAAGGCCTCGAACCTGTTGCTGAGGGTTATGTTGAATTTGTTGAGTTTGTCAGCATCTCGAAGAAAGGCCTTATTAAACTTTTGTGATGTTGTTCGCGCCGTTGTCCACGGCTTCTTGAGTTTTAGTTTGACCTTGGCGACCAGCAAATGATGATCGGATGCTATATCAGCTCCTCTTCTGGTTCTCACATCCTACATCGTCCTCCTGAACTTTTTTTATTCGGTTCTGTGTAAGGTGATCCGGTAACGTCCAGGTGGTTTTGTGAACGAGTTTGTGTGGGAATATGGTGCCACCTATGACCAGTTTATTGAAGGCACATAGGTTTGCAAATCTCTCACCATTTTCGTTCCTTTCTCCCAGTCCATGTTGTCCAATGACGTCTTCGTATCCAGTGTTGTCTATTCCAACCTTAGCATTGAGATCTCCCATCAAAATGGTCAGGTCCTTGGTTGGCACTTCTCGACGATCGACTGCAGCCTATCGTAGAATTGGTCTTTAGCGTCTTCATCGTAGTCATTGGTAGGCGCATAGCATTGGATGACGTTCATTGTAATGCCCTCTCTCTTTGTTTTGAAGGAGGCTTTGATGGTCCTTGGTCCATGGATTCCCATCCAATAAGTGCATTTTGTGCTTTTCTGGACAGCATCAATGCAACTCCTTGTGTATGTGGGGCATTTTCTTCTTCATGACCGCAGTATAACAGAAGTTCTCCCGAAGACAGTCGTTGTTGTCCAATCTGCGTCCAATGTGTTTCGCTGATTCCAAGAACCTCCAGATTGTATTTTCTCATTTCTGCAGCAATACAGAAGACTCTTTCGGTCTCCCACATTGTCCGGACATTCCATGTACCTATAAAAATTGTTGCTCTGGTTGTAAGAAGGTGCATCGGCCTCGTGACTTCCGAATGAACTCGGCTTTCATCATGAGACGTCATAATTATTCCTTTTACTCCCAGGGCAGAGTTTGAATGGTTTGAATGATTTTTTCTGGTTAGCGTTTTTTTAGCGAGTTGATTTTCTACGGGATGGGGTCGCTAACCCCATGTCCAACCATTCTCCTTTACCCGGGCTTGAGACCGACAATAACCCCCAGAGGAGCTACAGGTGGAGTACAGATACACACACGGTGAATAATGTTGGGCTATCTGTTGTCTAGACACACGATAATTTTGAATTCATCGTTAGCCAATATCGAAAAACCACTGCACACTGCCGTGCGATAGCCGTCATAGGTTTCCAAACCGTATGGCGAATGCGTTGAACTTTTATCTATGTCGATGCTGCAACAAAGGTTGCTTTGTGACCGTGTTTACAAAGTTCGTTCGTCCTAAACTCAAGTACTGCATACAAGCGGAAACCCCTACTTGGAAAGAGTCGGTGGGCTGTTGAAAACGATTTAAAGAACCACAACTAATCTGATTTCCGGAATAACGAAGCTCCCGTACGAGAGTACTTTTTCATTGAATCATTGAAGAATAGAATTCAACATCTTAGCATGTGGTTGAATCTCCATTTGCTGACGCTTTCAAAATAAAGTTTGGTCAACTGGGAGACCATCGTTGTTAGGAATAACACAAAACACCTAACCTCCTATAATTTCCAAACAGAGACTGAAATTGGATATTGGACGTCGGTCCCTTTAGCATTTTCGGTTCGGCTAACCGTTACGCAAAGTTTGAATATTATCGGAACATTTTTCCGCAGACAAGTGAAGTCCTTGAAATGCGTCTGTTTGTTGGAGGTTATGGGGAATTGTTTCCAAGGAATGGTTATATCGATGTTTGTAAGGGATAGAGCGTTCACTTTTGGACACGGTGAGATAAGCAACAGCGTTGGCGTTAAAGCCTCACAGCCAATGGATGATGTCAGTCCTTTCCTACCGTCCAGATCCTTGTCCAGCAAATCTAGAGTTTCTGAAACTTTTCAAAGCAGTCCGCCTTTGGTTAGGTGTGTGAAATCCAAGCCGCAGTCATGTCAACCTACAAATACTACATCAAACTTGGCGATAAGTCCTTCTCATCCTTCTGAAACACAAACTGTAACAGCTTCCAAGATTAGTGGTAGAAGTGTTAAGCAGTCAAAACCTAAACATTACGTTGCATTATTCGATTATAATGCTCGAACGGAGGAGGAAACATTTCTTTGCAGAAGAGATGAAGTCTTACTTTTAGCTGACACGTAAGTGCATTTTTTGTCTTATTACAACTTTATCTCTCACTCCTCGAAACTATGTATATCTTAATTTCAAAGCTCGACAGTATGACGGAAATTATTGAATCTAATAGAAGGAACTACAATTTAACATAGGAAGTGATTATTATGTCTTTCGTCGACTCAGTATTTGGTTGGAAAACTAATAGCTATTGCCTTGACTATCCTTAGCGGCTGTATGTGATGCTTAATACTGACGATTTTATGCGTATTTTTGTTAGCCTCTACGGAAAATATGTGTGAAAATATTTTTATGCGTAAAATATTTGACTGCAGACGAGTTTTATTTTGCACCAAAGGATAATGAAAAGGTTGGAAATTGGCCCTTGTTTTTTTCTGATAAACCATCTTTGGTACTACAGTCTGTTTTTTAGTGACCTTAGTAATATTTTCAACTGTTTTTTGTATCTTAGAACCTTTTCACTAATCTTGAAATTCTGTCTTACTGGAACATTATTTGTTTGCTTATCTGAGCAGGTAAAATTGATACAAACGGGCACCGAAATAGATTTGCACCTCATTATTTAATTTGTGTGCTGGGATACTACTCACGTACCAAAACCGAAGTAGTTATTTTCCCTAGAAGACCACTCCCCGAGCGTTTGACCGAGAGGTCTAATGCATAAGGCAGTGGTTCAACGTTAGAAGATGCAATCCCATGAAAGCTTGTGATCAACAATAAGTCCATACACCATTTGTTCCCTCAGGATCATGGAGCCCATGTGCACTATTGATTTGGAATCGTGGTTTTCCTACTCCACCTGGTCGACCCTCTGTACACAGCAGTAACGTTGATATTTTATCCAGTTGGATAGTTGTTTGATTGTTAATTTTTTAGTCTCAAAACCTCTCAGTGAATTCTGAACTGTCTTCCGAGCACTACTTATTAACTTTATGTATTGATAATTACGGTTCATGGATCATGTTTCTAGATAGAACAGATTGCATCAAAAAGCCATCGTTATTCTTTCTATAAATAACAAGTAGGATAATCCTAGAGTATTTCCAGGCCAAGTTTCATAGATATTTCAGGCCTTTGGGAAGTTACCACTTTTTAACTAGACTTAACTTCGTAGTTGATTGCTGCAATCACAGTTACTTTTTATGTGTCCGACTTTTATTGCATTGTAGATGCGACCACAAACATTTCGAATCAGAAGTTTAAATACACTATATATATATATATATATATAGTGGTAATTTGGGTTAAACTGTTAGTTGAATAAACCGTTAGCATAATATTGGGAGTAAATGAGAGTTTGTGTAGTCTTTTAGCTTGACTGTTCTTTTGGTTATTGACTTGGGCTCATAACTGCAGGACAGTGATTTATTGGGAAGAACATTCTCTGTTCACCTTTACGTGTTGTCATAGTCAATATCTCTACAAAAATAAAGGAGCTCAATGATTGCAATCGAATCAAATCAATTTGAAATTATGTAGGATACTTTCACTATCTTCATTCTAGTGTCACTAATATATTCTGTTGGCTTACACTTTTTATATACGGAGCCACTTTTTTACGCCTTTAATTTAAAATCAGTATTATAGGTTATCTTTTTCCACAGCATTTTGTCATGTTTACTATCAGCGGTGTTGTGGAGAACGTGAATTGGGCGAAATACTTGTAATTTTAACTGATCTGTGACTCTTGTATAATATTCTTGTACACTGGCTTATTTCATTTGGAATTGTACTTCCATTACCTCCTTTACTTCAAAATATTCTCGATCTGTTTGTGTGGCATACTTTATGGTGCTTAACCACCAGGATGTATGCGTATTAGGTTATATATATACGTGGTTGCTGAGCGCTGTTACAAAGCGATCAATTTGATATCATTGTGGTCGGGGTGTGATTATCTTATAAGTTACTTGTAGAGCCAACCTTCAAACCTCAACCAAACAAATTTTAGAAGGCAGAACTGCTTAACTAACCTGAATGTAAAGGAAAACTTGTTTACACACGAAGTACTGAATCAAGATTAGGTTTCATCAAAAACCTATAATTAATCAGGATTGTTATTATTTATTTATTTATTTGAACACATAAATATTGGTACAATGAAGCACCAGATAAATATGCGCCTCACAAATCTCATTCGATTTGTGTGACGGCTGTGATACTGCCCAGGTGCCCAGACTGAAGCAGGTGGTTTTCTTAGGGGGCCACACCCGGAGCCTTTGACCTGAATTTCTGATCCACAAGGCAGTGGAGCATCGTGAGGAGATGCAGTCCCATGGTAGCCATTGACCAATGACAGGTTCGTCCGCCATTCGTTCCATCAGGATACTGGAGCCCATGTGCACCATTGGTTTGAATTCAGGGTTTTCCAACTCCCCTAGGTGGACTTTCCGTGTCCATCAACCCGGTTAAAGCACCGGACATTCTCTTTTCGTCCTCTCACTTTCATAAACAACACCCCCGCCACGAGAAGACAGTGAGTAGGACTTCCCTGGCAGAGGCTATGTATTCGCTGGCCGTATGAGAGTATTTAGAGAGGGAGAGGTGACTCTCCCCACTCTCGGCCGTACCAGGGCATTTGGGGTGGCGATCACAAAGAAACCAGTGTTGAATCATTTTTGTCCATCATATGAAGCTGTCCGTATTTCTCTTGTTTTGGCTTGTCTTTGTGATATATTTCTTTGGAGTTGTTATCAAAAGCCCCCAAATGCCCTGGTATGGCCGAGAGTGGGGAGAGTCCGCTATCCCTCGCGAAATACTCTCACATGGCCATGCGTGATATAGCCTCTGCCAGGGAAGTCCTACTTATCGCCTTCTCGTGGCGGGGGTGTTGTTTACGAAAGTGAGAGGACGGAAAGTCTACCTAGAAGAGTTGGAAAACCCTGATTCCAAACCAATAGTGCACATGGGCTCCAGTATCCTGAAGGAACAAATGGCGTATGAACCAATTGTTGGTCACCGACTACAATGGGACTGTATCTCCCCACGATGCTCCACTGCCTTGAGGATCAGATCTTTAGGTCAAAGGCTCCGGGTGTGGCCCCTTAAGAAAACCACCTGTTCAGTTTGGGCACCTGGGCAGTATCACAGCCCTCACACAAATCTCATTTGATTTGTGGGGCGCATATGTATTTGGTACCCGTTTGTACCAATATTTATGTGTATAAATAAATAAATCAAAAGTATTGGTGTCAGACCGTGTAATTTCTTCATTAATTCCGTGTAACGACCTTACTTTCTGTTCTTTTCAGAGATCCAGATTGGTGGCTTGTACAGAACTTAAGTTCCGGTAGGAAAGGATATGTTCCAAGCTCGTTTGTTGCGAAAAAAGGATCAGTTGAGGCTGAAGAGTATGTTTTCGGTTGACCTGTTTTTATTTTAAATTCCACTTGATTCGCTTATATTCAACTCAGTATTTAACCTATTAAGAAACGTAACAAAAATGCTCACGTGGTTAAAAATTGAATTCATAGATCAGTTTCATGATTTTGTAAAACTCATTTCCTTTTACTAATTAACCAGAAATCTTCAAATTTTTTTCTCAGAATTGGGTTGATCACTGTGAAACTACTATCGTACTTTTATGCAAACTCAAGATGACATTCCAAACCAATATTTTTTCAAGGACGTGTATATAATTTTACTGTTTCATTCGATAAAATCAATCCACTGATTTACTTTTCTCATCTAGAGGATTATAGATCCACCTTCGATATTCTGTACTCAGTGATTTCACTAGGTGTGATACTGAAATTCAGATATCGAAAATTCATTGTCTTGGATTCATGATGATCTTAGGGCAGGAATAAATATTAGGTACGGATATGGATCTGCAATTTTAGTCCATATGACTTCAAATCAGTGTTAGGACCTTTTGTTCGAATCATTGAGCTCTAAACTGTCCCAACAAGTACTAGTTAAATGAAGTATGTTATTTCTAGATTTTTATTTGATTTAAGTTAGGCTGTTTGTAGGTCTTTTTTACTCCAGATCCTACCTAGTTTTCATAATCACGAATGCATGGTGATATCAAAGTTGAATGTTAATTTCTTCTAACATATTCAACTAAACAGTTTGTCGTAAATTGTTTACTTTAGTGATGTCTTTTATTATATAAAATAACGGTTTGAAAAACCACTATAAATTTATAGAGCAGCAATTACCTATCTTCCTGTAGTTTGAGTCGAAAATGAATATCTCCTGTTATATATTTTACATATAGATGGTTTATGCCCAGGTTGTCGCGTAAGGACTCTGAAAGGCTACTACTACTGGAAGGCAACGCTCAAGGCGTATTTTTAGTACGTGAAAGTGAAACCAGCCAAGGTAAGTCAACTATAAAAACTTATTGAACAAAAGTTTCATATATTTTTTCATGATTTGAGTAACTTCTGGTAAGATTTTCAGTAATAAATTTGTTTTTTCATAAGTCTTAAAACTATTCTAGGTATTCCCTTTAAGAATTATAAAACTTATTAAGTATGTATTATAATATAAGTGCCTACAGTAATCGTTAGCTGGTTCAAATCTCATACTTTGTGGTCGTTGATAAGATTGTCATAGATTACAATTATCTTTAACCTTCCTAGTTTATTTTGAAGTGGAAGCTATTCGGTTGAATTTCTGATGCAACAACCGGATTTGAGTGATCTTGGTTTTTCACTGAATTTGAATTATTCGGTTATTTAGTCACTGTCCTATCAACTAAGATACAATAGTTTACTGCTAATTTGTCTTTCAGTCCGTTATATTGTACGCAACAGAAATACTTCAATACACCAGTTTGTGTCAAAGGTTACCATGTGTATTAATGCAGTTGGCTGATTACTTTGTAATTTATCTAGTAGTTTCTTGTTAAAATAATTCCCATGAACCAAAGGTTCACATCTGTCTATTAATCGTAATATAGTTAAAACGTTAGAACTTTAACCTGTGAGCCCCAGATCTATATATCACTTCTCTATCTCCAACACGAAAATACACGGCTTAAAGCCAAGCATATAAATGTACACGGTTACATTAATTGGAATCGTTGGGATTCCCCAATACCTAGTTCCTAACCACGTCCATAACACCACAAGCTCAGGACTTGTCTGTTTTCTAATTAAGTTTGTTTATTTTAGGTACTTTAAATTTTGGAACTCCCCCCTCGTGTTCTGTCTACAGTTTTTCCATAATGATTTAATATTCGTGTTTTGTCTTAATATCCATATCAGTTGGTACGAAGAAAATAGGTGGTAATATTTGTCGACGTAAAGTCGCCTTGTCTGTGATCTCAACAGACCGTTAGACTAATACACTGCAACTTGAAAGCAAAGACTTTCGGCCTACTTTTTTTTGTTGAATTATATAGCTTTTTTGAAGTCTTCAACCAGCTTCTATTTAACCATTAGCTCAGTTAGTGGAACGTTTTCTGAAGCTTGTGAGTTCTATGTTGCTCAACAGTTTGATAAGAACCTCTACTACACCTGTTCTATTGGCTTCCTTTGGCTCGGAGCTGAAAACTTTCTCTTTGTTGACAATAGGTGGTATTCATATACATAGTTTACTTTTTATTGTGACTGTCGCAAGCAATCGGGTGGCAGGTCGCATAACTAGCCGTTATCTGTACAACCAAGTCCTAATAAATCTAGTGCACAGATAGTGAGATAAAATATTTCTCAAGTCTCGACACTTGATACCACAGACACCGGTTGTTTTTCAGTTTCGTTCGGACGCTTTCCATGTTGCATATTTTATTGGTATCAACTGTAGTCAACCAAACAATTTCCATGTTTTGTTAACTGTATATCACTATAAAGTCGAAGAGTGTCTCAGTTTGTAAGGCTGTGAACAGTGACAAATTTTCACTGTTGAGCTAAATTCACTTCGAATGTTTCAGGACGCGCTGTTAAACCATATTTAAACTTCTGAATTATTTTCTAAAGTATGGCGTTAATAACTTTATTGATTGGATTTCGTTCATATATGATCTAGATAAGGACAGTGGTGGGGAAATCCCTATTCACCACAAAACTAACAAAGCACGAATGGTTTACTCTAGTTTTTGTCCGTTTTCTGCTTGGATTGGCATCTGAGTATTCACTCTACGATTGATGCTGGTCTGTAATATTCATAGCTTGAAAGTAATTGCAACATCACTCCTACGATTCCTTTCATGTAGATAACCCATTTATATTTTCCTTTTAAATTCAATTTGATAATTCAACGCGTTTTTTTCATAAATAAGATCTGTGCATACATTTCTCTCATCTATATTAAAAGTGACTTCTGAATTTACATTATAACGAATACATGTTACTCACTACTTACTTTCACCTGTTACTCCCAATGGAGCATAGACCGCCGACCAGCATTCTCCAACCCACTCTGTTCTGGGCCATCCTTTCTAGTTCTATCCAACTTTTGTTCATTCTCCTCATGTCTGTCTCTATTTCTCGGCGTAATGTGTTCTTTGGTCTTCCTCTTCTCCTTTGACCTTCAGGATTCCATGTGAGGGCTTGTCTTGTGACACAATTGGGTGATTTCCTCAGTGTGTGTCCTATTCACTTCCAGCGCTTCCTCCTGATTTCTTCCTACGCTGGAATCTGATTTGTTGTCTCCCACAGTAACTTGTTGCTGATAGTGTCTGACTGTCTTGACATTCGTAATGAAAATTCTGATCTTGGTGTTGGTTGACAATTGTTTAGAGTTACAAATGTTATTTAGCTGTAAATATGCTGCTCTTGCTTTGCCGATCCGCGCCTTCACATCTGCATTATACCCATCGTGTTCATCGATGATGCTGACCAGATATGTAAATGTTGCCACATCCTCGAGAGCTTCTCCGTCAAGTGTAATTCGATTGGTGCATATTGTGTTGTATCGGAGAGTCTTGCTTTTCCCTTTGTTTATATTGAGACCTACTGCTGCTGAAGCTGCTGCTACACTGGTCGTTTTCCCCTGCATTTGTTGTTGCGTGTGTGATAAGAGAGCCACACCATCTGCGAAGTCTAAATCATCCAGCTGCATCCTGCCTGTCCACTGTATCCTGTGCTTCCCTGAAGATGTTGACGTTTTCATTGTAATAGTTGGTAAGGGCATAGTATTGAATAAAGTTCATTGTAATGCCCTCTTTCTTTGTTTTGAAGGAGGCTTTGACAATCCTGGGTCCATGAGATTCCCATCCTGCAAGTGCATTTTGTGCCTGTTTGAACAGCATCAATCCAACTCCTTGTATATGTGGAGCATTTTCTTCTTCATGGCCGGAGTATAACAGAAGCTGGAGCTAATCGTTGTTGTCCAACCTGTGTCCAATATGTTTCAGTGATCCCAAGCACCTCCAGGTTGTATTTCCTCATTTCTGCAGCAATTCAGAAGACTCTCCCGGTCTCCCACATCGTCCATGTACCTATAAAATTTTTTACCCTGGTTGTTAGAAGTGGCGTCGGCCTCGTGACTTCCGAAGGAACTCGGCTTTCACCATAAGGCGTCATAACTCTTCTAAATGAATAACTTCTGACTTCCAGGGCAGAGTTTAAATGGTTTGAATAATTTTTTCTAATTAGCGTTTTATTAGCAGGATGGGGTCGCTAACCCCATGCCTAACCCTCCTCCTTTATCCGGATTTGGGACCGACAGTAGCCCCGGAGGAGCTACAGGCGGTGTTAATGAATACATATAGAACTCTATTATTGTGAGGAAGCAAATAGTTGCGTTGTAATCACTCTCGCTTTTTAATTTTGTGGCCACTTGAAAAGATATTTTATTAATGGTTTGAAAACGGTTTAGAGAAATATAAGAAATCAGTCAGTAGGAAAAACTGGGTAGTGTGGCTTAAGATATGCAGTAGTGATTTTAATGTGTGCTTAAAATCGTCTCAACTTGTGTTGCCTAAACATTCGGTTATAGGCGGGCCAGTAGATAACACGTATGTAAGACGATAGATCTATTTACATCTCAGTACTACCGGAGGTCAGTTGCGGCCCGGATAGCTCAGTGGTAACGTCTCTGACTGTGAAGCTGGTTGACGAGATCGAATCTGTCAGGGAACATCAGTTCCCTCAAGATTACAGGTACGCCTTGCTGACGAGTGCCAAATAGCACGAAACCTAGGTCCAGGGTTTTCTGTTGACTATTTTCAACCACCATCTTAAAACAATAGATCATTAAGAATATCTACACATCAGTCCCAGGTTCTACATTATTTATCTCTGTCATCCAGGCCATATAAACTTCTTACTACTAGGAATTCTAGTGATATTTACCCTTGTGGGGATTTAGAAGTTTCCAATTCTAGGTATGTACAGTAATGTTTATTTCTTATGAGAAGTTTGGACTAATAGGAAGCAATATACAACTCCCTGTTTATATTTAAACATAAAATGTTAGTTGCGATGAAGTATATTGTGTAAGAACTTACCCATGTGTATTTTTGCATTCATATATTCTTTTTTATTGGATTCAACTGATAAAAGTGAATTTGGTAGCTACATCCACGGAATTTGAGGAAACATTACGATTTGGATTGGTTCGTGGTTATTTCTACTTATTTTAGTGGATAAAGTGAGGTGATTTATTAGTGACAAGCATTTTGTCACCGATATCTCAGTGCCATTCTCATGCATTAGGAATAAGCAAATAAGAAATATAATTGATAGGTGCAAATTTTTTCATTAAGTTTGACACTTGCTTATTATTCCTCTTACTTTTTAATATCTTAACCAATTAGAATTTTGTTTTAGAGAAATCTACAGGCTAACAAATTTAAACAATAGAAAGATTTCATGTTATTGACGTTAAGTCCTATTGAAATTGATCAGACTCACATCCCAACAGTTGAAAGCTTCAATGTAGACTTTTAAGTTCATTAATCACTGAGTAAATAGGGACTCGATTGTTCACTTTTGTGACCTCATTAGTTTCGAAATTAGTTCTTTCATTCGATCGATAAAGTAAATTTTATAGTAAATCTTAATTGTAATAAGTATCTCCTAAATTTAGGTCAAAATATCAATTAATATCGCATCATTTACCGTTTCGTATTATCTTCTATGTAATTTGAAATCATATTTCCATTGATTATGTACTCTGATAAAGCCTACTTTTGATCTCTTTGTTGTAATTCCCTGTATCACAATATTCATTTCTAAAACGTAACTTGCCGTAATATTTTTCTTCTCAGGTTCCCTAACATTATCTGTACGAGATGAAGAACGTGGATTATCCGGTATTATGAATACAGTGAAACACTATCGTATCAAGCATCCGGATTATCGCTATTACTATATTACAACCAAATGTAGTTTTTCTAGTCTTCAAGAATTAATACAATTTTACTCAATTGATTCTCATGGTTTATGTTGTAAACTTACAAGGGCATGTCTATGTCCACCACCAATAACTTCAGATTTATCAGTTAAAACAAAAGATCATTGGGAAATATCTAAATCTTCAATTGTTTTAATTGAAAAACTTGGAGCTGGACAATTTGGTGAAGTTTGGAAAGGTGTGCATATATATATATATATATATATATATATATATATATATATATTCACGATTGTTTGCACCCACTTTCCTTTCTTCTAATTTGTGTATCTCACTGAAACTAATAGATCTATCAATACCGTTTACTAACTTAATATACTGAAATTATTTAAGAAAATATAACGGAAATCGCCAGAAAAAAGTCTTAAATATATGTAATGACCAGTTTATAAGCTTTTAATCAGTTGGACTGCATATAAGGATGGTTAGGCATCTCATTTTACCATCCATTAACTTTTTTTCTACTTCTTCTTTAAACTGTGTTTCATTTCCTATTGATTCCTATTCCAATACCATTCGTATCCATCCTAATTTCAAGAATTACTATATTCTTTAATTATCAGATCACGAGTTTAGTACCACTCCTTGCGTCCATTAGTTCACTGTTTTGTTGAAGTATCAGTACGATAGTTAGTTCAAATTCATTGCTACAAACATTACAGTACATCTAGGTTGTACATTATTTACTAACCGATTAAAATATTTTTTAAATTTTATTTAAACATGTTATGACTTGTGGCCGAGTGGATGCCTTGTTAACGTATGACTTGATAAGACTGCCAATCAGGGAGCAGCGAATTATCGATTGGAACAGTGACACACGGAAACCGTTCGAGCAGTCTAGAGCACTTGTCGGTCCTGCCTCTGCTTAACCCAGCCAGTTAAGTTCAGAACAGCCTCTGCGGTACGAATCATTATATTTCAAACATACTGAGTTTATATATCAATCAAACTGACCACATCGTACCACAAAATAGAAAATAACATGTGTACAAGATTTAGCCAAATGTGGATGTGGGGAACAGTAATTAGTAGACTGGGTGTAATTCATAAATAGTAAATTGTGTAACAACAATCTATGGGTCTCCTGCGATCACTAGCCAGTTTAGATCAATCACTTCTCGATGTGTTGATAATCTATCAAATATATCTTCCAGCCTCCCTGCTTCTGACTTTTGATTTCATTTGATGGGCGCGATTCAATTACAGGTGTTACTGGTAAAGTGTTGTCAAACTACAATATCTGTAGTATCTTCATTCGTTAGCGTTCTTCCTGCAAATTCCAACGACCAGCTTCACGAATCTGTTTTAAACTTATAGACAGTAAACGGAAAGTCAATCACCACATATGGTGAGAGATACGTTTTCCTTAGCGTGAGTTTACGCAAATCTATTCATTGGATCTTCGTTGTTGCAGAACATTCTATGCCAATGATTGATATGGACCCCCTACAACACCATAATCTACTCATCGATAAGCGCAACGGAGGCTAGTAGACGGAAACACTAATTTATCTGTTTGCGTAACTTCTTTTTCTGGTTGCAGAATGTTTTCAGTCACAGTTAGGCACACAATAGACCCATTCTATCAACCAATACTCGATATGTGCTCGGGTATATACCAACCACAACCGAGATTGCCTTGTGTAACCAGCAATGTTCCACATCACATCACGACAACAGGACCACCTGCATTCTCGAAAGCACTCTGAATGGCCCCAAAAAGCTGAGGTTGGTCAGAAACGAAATTGACCACATGACGGAGTTAGGAATCATTCGACCGTCAAACAGCCAATGAGCATCCCCCTTGCACATAGTCCCTAAAAAGGACAGCAATGATTGGCGTCCAGCTGGTGATTATCGGCGTTTGAATGCAAAAACTATTTCCGATCGCTAACCGTCGCCTCACATTCACGATTTGACAGCTACCTTGGAAGGTACAACTGTCTTTTCGAAAATCTACTTGATTAAAGCCTATAACCAGATCCCTATGGTTACTGACGACATTCCCAAAACCGCTATCATAACGCCCATGGAACTCTACAAATTTTTGCGAATGCCTTTTGACCTAAGAAATGCTACTCAAAACTTCCAAAGGTTCATCGATTACATTTTTCGAAGTCTCAAATTCGTACATGCGTATGTTGGTGACTACTTGGTAGCACGTCCTAACAGAGAGTCCCATCTTCAGCATCTGGACATTGTGTTCGAACGACTGCAGAAGCATGGCATCACTGTAAACATTCAGAAATGCCGAATCGGAACCGATTCCTAAGATTTCATAGGACACACTACTAATTATCAAGGCATCTGACCCCTTTGAAGCAAAATGGCAGCCGTTCTGGATTACCCAGAACCGATCACGATTCAGAGATTGCGCACATTTAACGGTCTTGTAAGTTTTTATAAACGGTTCATACCAAAGTGCGCGTCCCTTATGAACTATTAAACGGCCAACTCCATGGAGATGCAGCATCCATTAATCTGGACGACACTGTGCGAGAAGCACTCCACAATTAAGGAACTTATCGCGAAGGCAACAATGCTGGCACATCAGGACACTCAAGCGCCCATAAGTATCGCATTAGACGCATCCGACTCAGCAATGGGAGGAGTCTTACAACGATGGGTTAAACACTCCTGGCAACATTTGGCGTTCTTCTCAAATGAAGACCAAGAATTCACTGTTTTCACCCATCACAAACCTCTTATCTTCTCTTTAAGCTGATCTCCACATAAGTACTCAACTCGAGAGTCTGGAAAACCGGACTACATTTTGCAGTTTACTTCAGATATACAACACATTTCTGGAGCAAACAATGTAGTCGCGGACGCCTTGTCTGGAATAAGTTCCTTGAACAGTTTCCAAGGAATCAACCTTCTTAAACTAGCTCAGCTTTAAACAACAGACTCAAAACAACGCGTTCTGGAAGAAGAGTAAGGTTTCCAGAACACATAGACGATTAATGCACATAAGACATTGCATAACTTTTGCTGCTTATACTTTCATTTTATAGATGACGTGCAGTAATGTTTTATAAGATACGTGTATTATTTTCTAACCTAAAAAAGGAAACCAGCTGACTAATTTAGGTGTAGTATTCTACTGTTGTGAATAAGAATACAGGTGGGGACAATCAAATGTATTTAATCACAAATTACAAACTATCTCACTAAAATTTGATAACCATACAGTAAGCAGTTAGTTTGCAAAATAACAATTAATTGACTCAACCTTGACCGTTCTTTCTGTAAATATCAGTTCATCTTCTCTGATTTCATTGTTTATGCATTTTCATCCCAATTGCGCTTCGTTCCTGTTCTTTCCTTATCAATCTTCTGCCAAAATACGTTCTATGCCTGACCATCACCATATACTAATTATGTGGATATAAGTAACCCACTCCGCACTACTACTGTATTGATTTTTTTAAAATGTTAACTAACATCGACATTTGTGTCTTATTTAATCACACCTGAATTACATCTGAATCTGTGTTATATAACCCCCAGATACTGGTGTTCTAGCTAATAGGTTGGTTAAAATAGCTGCCTTTGTTGACTTATGTAAGTAAAAAATCAATCTTAGGAGCCATGTTCTAATGATGATTCCCTGTTTTATGATACTGGTTAGTTGGTCTATCGTTTTGGCATCATATACCCGAATGTTTTCCAACTTTAATTTGGATGTTGATCACCTTAGAAAATGTAATACGTTAATCATCTCACTCTTTGATCTTTGTAATTTTGGTTAACAAATCGTAACATTTTTATCTTAAACAAATCAACTTCTACATCAAACAATAAGTGACACAGTCATCTACAGTATTTCTGTATTGAGAAAAATCTGAATTATTCAGGGACCAGTGATATCCATGTAAATTAAAAATAACAATACGTATAGGCGACATTCTTCGTACAGTTTTGAAGAATTTTCCTCACAACATTTCAGTTTATTAACACAGATGGGAATTATTCTAATATCAGGTATCATAGGTATTAGGGTGAAGGGGATGTTTGACTCATTGTTCGTTCCCTCTGGTCGCTGAATTTTCACAAGAAAATTCATATACGTTTCAAGCTTGGTTTAGTTTTAATTTATTAGACTGAAAATTAGGGAAAATGTTATCGTGTTGACAATTTTCTGTATCCAGAGGTTATCAGTCCAGGTTCTGGTTAACTACTATATAAATACCTACGTAGTTTGATTTGGCAACCCAGAGCATGTTTATGCAATACCCTGTGGCTATGGTAAACAGTGGTTACTTATTTATTTTACCCCCAAATTATACACAATATTTCCTTTTCTGATTTGATATTTTTTAAATAGGTACTTGGAATGGTACTACAGAAGTTGCTGTAAAAACTCTAAAACAAGGTACAATGACCAAGGAGGATTTTCTAAAAGAAGCTCGTATTATGCGTGCAGCTCAACACCCGAAATTAGTTCGATTATATGCTGTATGCACAGAAGATCCTATTTATATTGTTACTGAATTAATGTGTAATGGTAGCCTGCTACAATATCTTCGTGATGGACCTGGAAAAAATTTACTAATTAATCAATTGGTTGATATGATGGCTCAGGTAATGTCTTATATTTTTCAGATCATTTTTTTCTGTTATATACTAATGAACAGCATAAACAGTTCCCGGGATTTTAAGTAATATTTTATCATTTAACTTACTTTTTATAGAGTTAGTTTTCCACGGGATGAGGTCGCTAACCGCATGCCCAACTTTCCTCCTTTACCCGGGCTTGGAACCGGCAGTAACTCTAGAAAAGCTATAGGCGGATTTTTCAACATCTAAGTCATTAAATAATTACATCTACTAGGATAGGCCATTCAAGTCATTTTAAACTGACTAGTTCACATGTATATTAAAAGGATACGGTAAATCAGGTGCACAAGTCATTCAGGAGTCGATTTTATGGTGTATATGAATTTAGATCTTATGTCGGAACGTAATTCAATTTATTTGTGCACGTAGAAATAATGGAGCAAGGTTATTGTTCGGCACATTAATTCTGCCTACTTTTTTGGTTTTAATGCTTCAAAACGAGATTTTTGGCCTCTACATACTTTACACTAATTCCACAAAAGTGTAATATAGTTTAGTATGTACAATAAAAGACAATTAGCTGTTTACCGAGCTGTGAATAGTGTCGTGTTTATTTGTCCTTGAAGTGCTACCCAAATCACTCAGTAGATGCGTCTCAGGATGTGAGGCTGGACAACACAGAATCGAGTCCTCTAAGGAGTAGCAGTCCCCTTAAGATTATAAGTATCCTTGGATGACGAGTGCCAAATAACCAGGATCCTAAGTTCTCCTGTCAACTAATTACAACCGCCTAAAATCTCAATAAAATGTGCTTCAATTATCCCATTTCTAACTCGACAGTTGGTTAACAACATAATTTGGTTTTGGAGAGCAGAGTGGATACTTAAACTTCTTTAGAAATATTGATCGTCAGTGTCATGAACAGCACTAAAAATCAAGACATTCACCTGATACAGATCTCAATGTTATTTATACTGGTTCCGAATGATTAAAATGCACAATCGAGATGTCAGATTTAGTGTCACTAAAGTTGGTGGATACAGCTGGTTCGTCTAAGGGAATCTATTTCAAACATTTAGTATACACAGTCTAAGGATTCATCAGGGAACCAGTACAAGATTAGCGTACTATGGAAGCAGATACCTTGCGAAGTCGTATCCTGTTATTGATTCACTAGTCTTTCCAATAATACACATCGGACCACCAACCAAATCTAATTTATGTGTTATCATTAATAAACGATTGATGTTTGATAGAACTAGATCCAGACATGTGACATTACTTTTTGATGTCAAGTTTTTGTTCCATTGAGACACACGATTATTCGCCAATAGGTATAAGGCAAGATAAGATAGTCAATGGAACTGAAAACTTACGAAATAAGCATCTGTAGATCTGTACCATTTTGATTGGTCAACTATAATCTTGGAAAATCTCTAAAACCACACCGTGAATCACTACATTTCCTTACGTGAATATTAGACTGACAATCAGTGACCTCACAGACTGTCATTTTATCTTGTTTTGGCTACCCATACTCTCTGTAATATTCATTCCTTCTGCCATCATCACGTGTTTACTTGACATTGGTAACATGACTCGTCTACTTCACTGAAAATATCCACAATCCCGTTAGTTAATTTCTGCAACAATTATGAATTCAAATTTCCGTGATGAAATCACAAAAATGAAACGGTTATCAAGTGATTTCTGCGGATCTAGCATCCCCAACAGATATGGAGCATGTTAACTTTTAGTTTTCCTGAGCGAACTTTGAGTATCTACTTACACTTGGCACTAAATACTCAATTATGTGGCTACTCTCTCATACTTTAATTTGAAAAGCTGTTTAAAACACGACACAGGTCTAACCCAAAGTATATTATGTCATGTACAGAGGGTCCATAAAAGATATATTTCAGTTCACATATATCTGTCTGTTTGCAGTCATTAACCAGTCACAGTTCACTTTCACCGGACATATCAGTTTCCTGCTTGTTGAGACTTGTTATTTAATTGTGTTTTGAACACAGATTGAAAAATAATTGGTTGATCTCTGTATTTGAAAAGGACAAAATTTTAGTTCCATTGAAGATGAAGAATTCGACATTGTTAGTGCCCACTAATGTGATACTCTTTCCCATATACCCAGACGTTGCGTTCTAGTTCAACAGCCTTTAAACTCCTTTCAACTTATGACTACAGCTGCAAACACGGCCTGTCCAGATGGACAGCTTTTGGGGACACTCAACTCATTTCTCTCAGTCAATGAATATTCACTACCTTATCAATTGATGTACCACATTTACCTAGTGCTTTGCGTCTAATCTCGTAATCGCTTACTCCATTATTCCAATATTCACTAAGAGCGCTTTGAAGGTACCTAAACTTAAAATCTTGCAGCATGCCCATAACCTTTATTACCATAGTTAGTTTCACAACCATAGAGTAATACAGAGGGGAATAATGCACACTATACTCAGAAACTGGTTGTCAGACGTCTGTCTAACTTGCCTCACAAGTATCGAGAGTTGGCTTTTTGAATCTGTACTGAGGTTTTATCAGATTCTAATCCACCAGAGCTGATGAGACTTCCAAGATAAATAGAGTGATCGGTACACTCAACTACTTCACTCTTTTTCATTATTCAAGACGTTAGCCCAAACCAGTCCTTAAACAATATTTTAGATATAGCGTAAGTGAACATAAATACCCATAGAGTCTCGTTCTGACGTGGAATGAACAGTGTGATATGATGCAGTGTTCTTAAATCTGAGAAAGCAGGAAGAATTAGTGTGTTTGAGCCAGTACAATCAGTTCAGTTAGTCAGTCACAACTTAGGATCAGGCGCACATATGCATCTGTCCGAGTCATATATCTAACTGTAACTAGATACAACCCCAAACGTATAGATTCACTTTCATGACTTCAATCATTTATTTCACTAATTAAGATCGTTCTCCAATACAGTCAATCAGTCGTCAACGTGTTTCGTTTCTCTATGTTCTGTGTGAAATACTACGTACTACTACTACAACTGTAGTGAACATGAAGACGATTAGGGAAAATCGGATGTATTTTACACGGCAATTACAAACTATCTCACTAAATTCTGACAACCATACAGTTAATAGGTAATTTGCAAACTATCAATCAACTGTTTCAGCCCTAACCGTTCCTTCTGCAGATATCAGTCCATAGTCCCCGATTATCATTGTTCATGCATTTTCATACCAATTGCGTTTTGTTTCCGTTCTTTCCCTATCGATCTTCTAGTGAAATACTTTCAACACCCGACCATCGTTATATACTACTTGTGTGGATATAAGTAGCCCACACCACACTGCTATTACTATTTTGCAAAGACTTGGTCCGAGTGAGCATCAAATGTACACAGACCATATTCTGTCTGAGAACTCTCGAGAAGTGAGTCTCAATAAAATCAATAAAAGCGTTGTCCCAAAGATTTCGAGAAGTCATCTCCATCTGAAAGTGTTGTCGGTGATTTAAGGCAAACCGGGAACTGGACGACTGCATTTTGTATACACTTTAGACAGTGTTTTGGCGTCTACATTAGTTTTAAATAACGTGGTGCAAATGCACCCCCTATCATTTAATTTATTCCTTAAAACTGATATTTTGCGTCAATCTTAAACTCCTCCATTTTACCTTACATATATGGTACTTGTCCCTATTCCCCACTGATAACAACCATAACTGTTATTCATAGAGTTACTCCAAACAAATGACTGCTGATTGGAAAAAGATGATCACGTTGTACCACAAGACTTTTGTAAGTTGGGACATATATTTTCTATGTATGGATCAGTTCACTATCCATTTCTAATTATTTAACTGTCTTTTTGATTTGTCCTTATTCTTTATCATAATAGATTGCTAATGGAATGGCTTATTTGGAGAAGGAGCACTATATTCATCGTGATTTGGCCGCGCGTAATATTTTAGTTGGGGAAAATAATTGTGTTAAAGTGGCTGATTTTGGTTTAGCTCGTATGGTGGAAGATCACTACTGTACATATATGGCGCAGAAAAGTACAAAATTCCCAATTAAATGGACAGCACCAGAGGCTGCATTAATGGGTCGTTTTACAATAAAATCAGATGTCTGGTCATTTGGTATTGTCATTTACGAATTAATTACACTAGGTCAAGTTCCTTACCCATCAATGAATAACACAGAGACATTGCATCAAGTTAGTACTGGTTATCGCATGCCACGTCCAGTGAATTGTCCACAACCAATTTATGATATGTTATTACGAATATGGGATAGCTGTCCAGAAAAACGTCCTACATTCTCATCTCTATTTGAATTTTTCGAAGATTATTTTGTCACTTCTGATGCTAATTATAAACATGCTAATTCAGCATTAACTGCATGTAGTGCTTGTATCACAACAGTTAATAATAATAATAACAATAATAATAATAATAATAGTCTACACCATCTATCAAACTTAACACCACTTGACACAACAAGTTCATCTAGCACAACGTCGATCAATGTCGACAGTACTCATTCCGCTGTATCCAAATGTTGTAGTGGAGGTCTGTTATTAAGAGATAAATTACTGCGCCAAAGTACTCAATAGTTGAACAAACAAGTGATTAAATTCAGTTCTTAATTCTTGTTTGGTTGTGTAGTTTGTCTCCATGTTATTGATTAATGGATCATTGAAACTATCTACCTGAATGTAATCAGATTATTCTTTTTGCTCATCTTTTCTTTTTTTTTTTATAAAAAAAATGGAAAATTGTGTTTAATGTTTCATTAACTGCAATACGAATTATTTCCTAATTTATTTATTTATAAAGTGTATTAAAGTGTATTGTCCATTTATGATGCATTTGATGATGATAGTAATGATAATGAGAGCCATTTCATTTGACAGTGATGATGATTATTATCATAATAAAACGTTGATGTATTGAAATGTGAAATGTCTGTTTAATTATCAGAATATCTATTGTAATTATGATTAACTTTTATCTTCTTTGATCAACGAACACACTCAAGAAGAATTGCATTTACAAGTAATATCTATTGTAAATATTAATACAACAACTGACAAGCGTTACCGTAACTCAGGGTTTTGAACAATGCATTTCATTGTCCTTTTTTTATTTTTTTATTTAAGCATATACTGTTTGTTGTTTTCTTTTTCTCTCCGATTAATGATAAAGTATTTCTCATTATCTCTGTTTATCTTACTTTAATTCTCTTCTTAATTGTATTCCTTCATTTATTTACCTTCAATCATTCATACCTTTTTATTTATGACATGTAAATTTATATTATAATATTAATTTCTATGGTGATTGTATTGTGTAACTGACTTTTCATTGACTTATTATGCAATTTCGTGATTCGTTCCTTCTCCTCTTTTCTGAAATATATTTCACTTTAAAAAATTATTGAATGATAGAAAAACATTAGGTCATAAATTTCACTTAATTGTTTATCCTTTTTTCGTGTTGTGGACGATTTGTTTAAACATTCTTGATTCTAACTTGAAACAATGATGGATTATTATTTCTAATAATGAGTGTTTTGTTTTCATTAGTTTACTAATTCAATCCCCCCCCCAAAGAGTAATTGCATATTTTCAAAATCAAAAGTATTTGTCGCTTTCTTTTCATATTTGTTATTCTTTTATTTTGAATACAGGAAAGTATATATCTATGCATTTCTCCTCCTTATCCTTCCTAATTAACTGACTACATTATTATTATTATTATTATTGATTTATCTATTCATTCTAGGCTAATAATTTTGTTCATAACGATTCCAAAATGTTATAACTTGTTTATGTGTTAATGGTTTTATTGTGATAATCTTCTTTTGCTGTTATAAGTAGGATATGTGTACTTAATTAGTCGGTTTGTATGAATGAATTTTCCGATACATGTATGTGTGATTTTGATGTCAGTTTAATAAATCTCCGTCTCTACAACATTCGTTTGAACAATTTTTTTTAGTTTTCATTAGTAAACTGGTTATCAACGCTCTGCTTTGTGACCATAACTTGTAAAGCTAACTGTATTGGGAATAGGGGGAACTCTCAAACGTCACGTGTTACAGATCCATAAGTTGAAAAAAATTGACTTATTTGATCCCAACCCAGTCATAATAAAGTTTCATTCTCATTGTGAAACTTGAACCTGGTTTTGATTGTAGTTGTATTCGTACATTATCATATCCCAAGTGCCGCAGTTGGAAGAATTCCTTTCTATCAACTTCAGTTTAGGTGATCGAGTAAAATCACCAACGCTCACTTGAAAAATATGATTCCTAGCTGAGTATGTGATTAGTAAGTTATGTTCTCATTGTCGTTATTTAGACAGAACAGCTTCTTAGCACTTCGTGGTTTTGAATTTTTCTTCAGGAGTTATTAGCTCTTAACGTAGATCGAACATGAAATTATCTGTCAGTTGAATAAAGAAGTCTACCTTCTAACATTTCAGTACAGTGAACATCTCACTAATTGTTTGTTCAAATATAAGTTTCAGAATATCTTGTAATTACTTTAGGAAAGGGACTGGTGAAACGATTAGAAGTACAGTCCCCTAAACTAGTTTATTTGTCTTCCAAGTTCGATAAAATTCCAAATGCATTGTTCCTAATTTTAAACTTGTAGTAACCGTTTGGAAGCAAAACCTAGTTTCAAATTTTATTTAAGTGAGCTATGGTTCAAAGTCACGTTAGCGCTATTTCAAGTTGTATGACACTGAATCATTAGCTCCACCTGCTCTAAAACTAGATGTTTTCTTATCGACATGTTATATACGATTGGTTTATTACTTGTACTACTACCACTACAATTCTAATGACGCGAAAAACAAAAAAGATCACTGGTACAAATGGAGATTCATTCACCTCGAAAACGCGAAGTTGACTACTCTGGTCGAATATACACTTATTGTTATTTTTAATGGCTTTATTCAATATTATATTTTGGTACAATATAGAATTCGCAGCACAAGGTATTTCAACAAGTTTTTTTACCAAAAGAAGTCTGAGTCTGTACAACTTTGTGAGATTTGAGACATGCCTAATAATATAGGTTATTGACTAGGTTAACTCTAACAATCCGTTCGCCACAGAGTATATTTGCTAGGTAAGGTATTACAGAACCTTTATAGATTTGTTTGCGTGCATGAATATCAATGTATTTACGTCTCGTTCTACAAGGAGAATGAAGTGGATGGTTAGTATCTGATAAGATAACACCTGCCAGGAGTTTCCAAGCCCGGGAAAAATAATGGACAGTAGTAAAGAACAATAGGTAATATGCGGGAATTTACAAATCGTAAGAGTAAATGGCAAGTAATCCCAAAATCATGCAGCCTCAGACGGTAAACTTTTCTCGATAACAGTAAAACATGAAAAAACCAAGAGAGATCAAAGGAAACAGTAACACCAAGATAATTGTCTTCCGACACTGTGTTTATCAAGGAGTCTCCAATGGCACAAGCACCATGGGATCCCAAAATAGTGTATAGGTGCTATCCATGTCTCTGGCTAAATTAACAGCTTGACATTTAGATGGATTAGGTAAGAGATCTTTACCGACAGACCACCAATCATTACGAGACAAAAACCTGTTTATTTCTATGGGATGTAAAGGGGTTGAAATTGACATACATTCAGTGAGGTCGTAAGCATATTTCACAAGTGTTTTCTGTAGAAGATGGCAAATCATGTAAAAAAGAAGAGGTGAGAGAACAGCTCCTTGTGGCGCACCTCCTTTAGACAGTAGAGACGTTGAACACTTTCTTCCAAACACAGTGTATTGATCTCATACAGAAAGGTAGGGACATTGCCAATTGGTTATCCAGTCGTCAGTGTTGACGCTGATCAACTCGTTAAGTAAAGTGTCTTGGGATAGAGTCAAAAGCATAAGTATAGTTCGAAAAAGCGCATCGAACATACTTCTTACCCTTTTCCAAGCTGAACGCTATATTGTGCATAACAGCAATGGAATCTAAGTTGCTCCTTTTGCATTTGTAAAGAAACTGATACGAATCCCTGTGCTCTTTTGTTGCAGGTTGAAGTGGTATACCAATTCAGTCAGTCACAACTTAGGATCAGGCGCACATATGCATCTGTCCGAGTCATATATCTAACTGTAACTAGATACAACCCCAAACGTATAGATTCACTTTCATGACTTCAATCATTTATTTCACTAATTAAGATCGTTCTCCAATACAGTCAATCAGTCGTCAACGTGTTTCGTTTCTCTATGTTCTGTGTGAACTACTATTACTGTTATATCCCGTGGAGAATTATGAAGGGTAATTCTGACGACTATTTATGGACCAATGTGATATGTACATTTCCTATTGTACAATTGTTAAATAACTGAGCTATTCATTTTCGTGTCCCTCTAATTATAAGCTTTATTTTGACCTGTAGACCACTATTATACGACTTACCATTCCTGAGTTATCCCTAGTCCATTATTTACTGTTCCTCCTATTCTTAGCCACATTTGGCTTAATCTTGTACAAATGTTATTTTTTATTTCGTGGTACGATGTGGTCAGTTTGTTCAAATGGGCACCTTATTAATATATATATATATATATATTGATCGTATTTTCACAAGCGACACTATTGATGATGATGTTAAGTTGTTAAACAAGACATTAATGGGGAATGGTTATCCATCTTACCATTTAGAGGTGATTCAAATAGCCTTTTATTGAAACAAATCAGTCATCAACAAAACGTATTGTGCAGCGAAGGTCATTATGAAAGAAAGAATGAGTTCCATGCTTCATCTAAAACCTAAAAGACATGAAAACGATTGTCACATCTCACTGCGATTACTAATTTCAATGTGTGTGTGGTCACACATACATAGGGAGGAACAATCGTGATCTGAAAACTAGGGTGTGTGAACATGTACCAAAACGGTTGCAGAAGCAAATAGAATCGAATGGCCAGAGTAGAGGATAAACATCCATCATCCTCTATTGCCAAACATATAATCGAAACAGGTCATAAGATTGATCTTAACTCGACTTTTGTAGTGTTGTATAAAAGTGTAAAAGGGCGTATACTAAGGTTTATTGAAGCCTTAGCCATACGAAAATTCAAACCCCCTTTGTGTATTTAAAAAGTTTGTTCTCACCTTAAACCTACCCTGGCAATATTAGCTTATTATCCAAAGTGATTAGGTTTCAAATTGTTTTCATATTATTTTTATTATTATTATCCTTGTCTATTTTTACCCCTCATTTCCAGTCTAGTTGACCTTTTATTTAGATATATAAATGTTCTGAACAAGCATATGTGTGATCAGATTGTTCGAAATTTATCGCGCTAATACATCATATAGTTCTGATAATCTTCGTCTTCTTAATACACTATCGAAATTTACCAATCAATTGTCTCGGTATTTTGGTGTCTACATTAGTTTTAAATAACGTGGTGCAAATGCACCCCCTATCATTTAATTTATTCCTTAAAACTGATATTTTGCGTCAATCTTAAACTCCTCCATTTTACCTTACATATATGGTACTTGTCCCTATTCCCCACTGATAACAACCATAACTGTTATTCATAGAGTTACTCCAAACAAATGACTGCTGATTGGAAAAAGATGATCACGTTGTACCACAAGACTTTTGTAAGTTGGGACATATATTTTCTATGTATGGATCAGTTCACTATCCATTTCTAATTATTTAACTGTCTTTTTGATTTGTCCTTATTCTTTATCATAATAGATTGCTAATGGAATGGCTTATTTGGAGAAGGAGCACTATATTCATCGTGAGGTTCGCGAGATTCGAACGCAGGACCTACCAGTCTCGCGCACGAGCACTTAACCGATAGACCACTGATCTTTGATTACTTTGTTAAGTGTTGTAATACTTTTCAGTTTTATAGGCTTTCGCAGTCAGTGCTTGAATAAATTTGATCATCCTTAATGATTTTTTAACATTTGTCTATTTTACGATTACTAAATGTAAAAAAATCTTTATAAATACAACTGGATGGCTTAAGAAGAATAATAACGTCCAAAAGAGAATTCTCTGTGTTGAAGCGTCTTCATTCGTTTTAATGAGTCATTGGGTTTGTTCCGTTGATTCACTTTATATTTATTTATTATTGTTTATGGTAGAAAAATGAAGGTTGGGAAATTTTTATTTAAATAAAATCTTGTTCTACAAAAAGAGAATATTTATCACAAAACTAAAGGTAAATTAATAGATTAGAGAAAAGAGGTAAGAATGAACTCTTCGAAATAAAAATTCATTGTTAAGTTACTTTAATCACGAATATCTGTTTAGGCAAAAATGATTCTTTCATAATTTTTAGTCTGATTACAATGAAACAAGTGATCAATAAAATTATACAACTTCACAAATTTTTTTTTTAAAAAAAAAACGAGAAAAAATGATATTGTGTTTAATAGGATCAACAACAAATGAAGTTTCATTCAAAACAGTAATGGTTCAAAAGAAAACTAAAAAGGTTTACATATTATCACACTAAAAAAAATTATTGTTATTTAAAAATAGAAAACAATGAAAAATAACACCACCGACCTGACTTCACATAGGTTCCTTTACATACCTTCATGAGGGATAGCGGTTCTTGTGGTAACAGTTGTTTCTGTCAACGATACTTGTGTCGGTGATTGATTGTTATCAGTTGATGGGTTGATTACGTCATTACTGCAATTGCTACTTATTTTTGTGGTACTGAGGGGTTCAACTTCACAAGGATCATGAATGACAGGTTTTTTATTCTGATGGTCACAACATTTACGCTTGATTACCAAGCCCAAATAAATTAAACACAAAGGAATCGGTGTAAGCATAGCTACAGTAATTGGCATAATGGCACCTAATTCACCAGTTGGTTTTGGCATTGTATACAATAAAACAAGTATTCCAACACCAATATTTTGTATACCAGTCTCTAAGGCCACTGTAATAATTAATTGGCGTGATTGTCGTAGAATTAATGTAAATAATGACGCTATACAAAAGCCAAGCCAAGGTAACAATGCACTTGTAAGGATAAGCAAAGGATATACAGCTAATAGACGAGTCAAGGACCAATTAATGTACACACCGATAGTTAAAAAGAATAATATGAATATATAAAATAATGGACGTGTTAACTTGGTGCATTTAACAGCCAATTTCGGTTTCCATATACGTAGACCTAAGCCCATTAATGCAGGTATAGCTACTTGTAACAACTGGAAGACAATATTGAGATATGGAATTTTTATTTTGGTCACATCAATAAAGAACCGACCGTAGATGAATAGAAGAAGAGGCATCATGACTGTGAATGAATAAAAAAAATGAAACGAGAAGTGAATGCAAAAATAACGGTTACCACGATTTATGACACTATTATATACAGTCCTGTGTAACAGTATAAAATAGATTAAAGAATAATAATTTATTTACAAAAGGGGAACAGTTCATTTGTAGTGATTGATCCTTAATGGAGTTTACGATAAGATTACAATAGTATTGAAATTATTCAATATGTTTTCTTGTTATGTTTTGTTGATTTTATGTTAATACAAAACAAACCAATCACAGAAGCATCACACCAGGAGTTCCTGCTCTTAACCTCCTCCATATTTTAAATAAATATTAACCAAGTGTGTTCCCCCTTTTTGAAAGTATATTCCATGTAAATAATATAGAAAATTAAATGTAGCACTTTTTTTTCTATACTTCATATAGGTTTTTTTTGAAATATCAACAATCCTGTCAACTTCCCCAAAAATAGTCGATTGCTCTCATTTTAAATTAAAATTAAATTATCCAAATAGAAACAAGAGTAGTAGTAATAATAATAATAGATAGATAGATAGATAGATTTTTAGTATATCAATAAGTAGAAAAATTGGATTTTATACATTTCACGATTTCCTATAAGTTGCTGTCGAAGAAACGATAAATATAGATGAATATTTTTATTATCTTAAACAATCTATCCATTGTATAATCTGTGAAATTATCAAATTTCATTATGACAATGATGATACTCATATAAATGACAAATTGACATGGCTATTTTTAATTGAGTTGATTCATATGAATATTGAAGTGATATAATGTGAAATTTTTGTTTAACCTCCAGAAAATAATCCATATCTAAGTTTTGTATAGTTAACAATTCTACGGATAACTTGCATCGTTTTCTTATCACAATAATAAACCTTTTAAGAATTAACTGATTATTTAGTATAGAATATGAAGACAAAAGTTTATCAACAGAAAGATGTGTCATTTTAACCAGAATTTTTCTTAGTAATCTCCTTATGCTATTGATAAGATAATGAATTAGCATTCAACAATCTACTAGCTTCTAAGAGAATGTATAAAGCATCAAATGGAATGTTCTTTATTATTATTATTATTATTATTAAATTGAATGAAAAATATAATTGAAATATGAAAATGTGACATTTGCTAAAACTTAATCAAACTACTGTAAACCTTTTTGATGTATATCCTTACATGAGATAGTTTTGTTTATCAATGAAAAACAAGATTTTACAACAACAACAACAACAAATATTCATATCAGATTGAATATTTACATTATACACTCAACGGTTTTCTATTATTATTATTATTATTATTAATGTTGAAAAAAGAAGATTTCATCTTCTAAGTCATGGTAACTAAAAATTGGAATTTACAAAAGTAAACTCACACACTATCGATTAGTTGAACTAAACAACTTTTAAATAAAAATTTTAAAATTTTTTATAATGAAATAGTGAATAGAAAACAAAGAAAATTTAAAACAAACTATCCATATTTATAGACTGTTGGGTTAAAACAAAAAAAATTTAGCTATTTGAATAATCATAAATATAACCCTATTGTAAGCTGATATTCATTTTTTGTAAGGCTTCTTTACAATTGAATAGATTAAACAATTCCAGATAAACTCATTCATTAAAGAAAATAATAATAGAAAGTGTATAGTTACAAAAAATTCAAATAATAAAGAAATTTTTATCAAACTGTTGATTCATCTATAAAAAAAAATAGGTCATTAATATTATATACCTTCATTAAAACAAAGTCTAGATAGATAAATCGAACTTACAAAGAGCTGATAAACTACTAATGAATGTCATTAATATACTCAAATTGATATCACCTCCAAGTAGAAGACACCAACCATTACTGGCACCACCACCTGGAGAACAAGCAATAGTAAGTAAACCAAATCCAAAATCCGATCTAATTGGTATAATTTTTACGATACCGAACGCAATCTAAAACACAATTATATAAATAAAGTTTAGTTTTTTTTTAAGCAAGATATATTTGAATACAAAAAAATAGTTTTAATAAGGAAAATTTAATTTTCATAAATTCATCTGTCCAAGGAGTGACCTATTGTAGAATTTTGGGAATATTATAAAACATTTACGCAGGTAAACACCAAATAATAACTAACTACATAAACATGGAAATGATGACATGAGTTACCAAATTTTCTTTACAATCAATAAATGTGGGTATATTGAACGACTTCGATTCACGCACTTATCTATCAATATACTCATGTTAACGCTGGAGAATCCATCTGAAAAATCATGTTCTAAATTGATGTGTATGGTCTGAAAGTTCCCAAAGTTAACAGACAACGTGTACCTTCAAATGATATTCCCCGAAAGATTATCAATACAAAGTGACATCATGGATCAAATAAAGGCGTTTCATAATGATAGCATAGATGAAATCGTATTCATTCCACACTACATGGTATTTACCTGAAAATTCAGTGAATTTGTACGCATTAAATTAAAGAATAATATAAACAATGGGTATGCAATTTCATTATAACATTTTATAAAAGTTCTATATAAGAAGGTAACAAATTTTTATCGATATTTCATAGATCAGCCGATTAGATCATGTTGAAAATTGTCATTATATGTATCGTACAATTGATGTGATCAGATATCAGGCAAAAGCATGATATTGCTTTCTTGAGAAAATATAAGAATCACTCGTATTATCTGAGTGAATCCAATAAACCAGTTCCTCTAGCTTAAACTATACGTGACCACATTCGGTTATAGCAAATATATAACATCTTACTCTCCATTTTATCGTTAGAAACATCCATCTTCTATGATAAACTGAATTGTCTGCGCTTAAGAATTTGTTTTAAATACCTCATGGAGAACAAGTAAGTAGATGTTAAATTATTCGTTTTTGGTATGAGAAGCGCAAATGTAAATATCTGAGAACGGAAAGAAATGATACACCATCATGAATGACGAAACGACAATAGAAATTACTAACAGTAAATAGAATTAAAAACCATTAGATATGTAACAAATTACTTTGAACATTTAGATCGAGTGGGAACACAGATCCAGCCAAGTAGCTTGGTTAAATCTCACCCGATCGGTATTGCTCAAATTATAATACGAAAACAAGGACATAGTTACTACAACGAAATGAATAAAGATAACCAATTATCTTGAAATCAACTTGGTTAGTTTTCCATTGTACATCAACTACTCAAAGATATTTTGTTGGTACAGATTTGATATAATACTATTAGCATCATGCAGCAATACAATTTTGGAATAAACCAAGGAATATTAAAGTTTTCATGTCATCGACTGACAGAATATACATTGAATTTAAAGGAATCTTTTTTTGAAGACTTACTACATTATGATTTCCTACATATGATATTGCATTATTCAATATAAACACTTAGAGGACACCAACAATTGACTACTTATTTTCAAGTTTAAATATTGTATTATTCATTTCAACTTAACTAGACGGTTAACATTGGATCAAAGATTGAAATAGTAGTAGACTTGAAAATTGTTAAAATATACAACACTTGTGATAGGATATTTCCTAACTAGTTAAAATGTAGTATTGATTTACCAGTTGTTGTTTTTTTTCTAAAACCTTTCATCATGTTATATACAATTAATAATACTGATTTTAAATTATTAAGAAATTATAAATAAGTTAATATATTTGTTATTATATCCCAAATAAGTAGAATAAATTAGATTATCTGACATTACGTAACTCAATTTATTCAAATTGATCAAATCAAAACTTGGTAATGATAGACATATTAAGAAATTAGTTTGAAACCCTCACCACCAACTGATTTTGTACACTTTTTGTTATTTTGTTCGGCTCCACACAAACACGAACTTGAACGAATTCATATTGACGAAAGTTATGTCTTAAGCATATTTTAGATTTTATGTAGTTCTTATACGTACTGTAATCATTTACAAGGTTTAAAGCAAAACAATGTTATATTTCTTGATTTCTCATCACCACCATTACTAGGATTAACACAAGACACTCAGCCTCCAATCCTTTCCAAACTGAAACTGAAATTTTTATTACTTATTTGACTTAATATTCTTAACTTGTATTTTAAAAACAAAAACAAACTACTTACCAATGGCATAAAAAAGAATTGACAAAAGAATCCAATTGATATAGAAATGGGTCTTTTGAAATGATGCAGGATCAAAGGAATTTCCAAATCACATCCCATTGTGAATGTGAATATAGTCACCATAACTATGACGAAAATACGGAAAACTAGGTAACCAATGCCTTTATCTGCAATTACAATTACGGGAAAACCCAGTGTGTTGTTTTCATTATTATCATCCTGGTTATTATACAAAGAGACAGTGAGTCGATGGTCAATTAATAAATTATCAAAATATTGTTTCCTGAGGGTCTCAGAATTATTGGCAAACCATGGAGTAGGACTGATGTATCCATGCATAGGTTTGGCTTGACGAATCCAAAATACCAAATAGTCTAATCCCACTAATTTTGGTAATATATAGACAGATATATTTGTACTCCCTTTTAATGAAGGTGGTAACCAATACCAAGACTGATTAACTAGCTCTGCAGATAACGTAAAATCCAAGTCATAAGATAAAGCTAAAGGCACATTACTGCTGTAGTTGACTAAGCATATAACAGGTTTGATTTGATAATTATCTACAAACTCCAAGTCCTTTTTAGAAATACTGATTACCACATATATAGCGTTTTCTTCATTATGGTAATTATAAGTATACATTGAAGAGTTCGAATTTCTTTCATCATGTTTAAGCTGGTATCGTTCTCGTGAGATTCTGGTTTCCTTAGCATACATCAAACCAAACTGCTGTGGAGATGTGTCTTTGACTGGAAAAGCATTCAACAAGATTATGTTGGCATTAATCAGAAGATTAATGTGTGTAGACCAAGAAAACATGAGTCAGAATGAACGGATAGACAACGTAACTTTATAGCTGACCCAACATAGAAGACTAGAATAGTTCTATTCTTCTCCAATCTGTCAAACACATTGTCTCAAGGTCATATGATCAAAAATCATACCTCACACCTTTTCTTAAAGTAGATTGGTTTAAATTGTATCATAGACATGCATTAACATAAACATGCATTAACTTGTATATCATTGGTCAATTAATTTGGTCCAAAAGACAATAATATAACAAATGATGATTAAAGATAACATATCATTGATTTAGGCTTCGACTACAGTAACTGTGTAATATGTGTTAACGTAATACATTGGGACTATTATCATTATTATTATAGTTCTGATAATCATCTTAGTCTTCATACAAATTTATCAAAAGGGACTAATTGCATTAAATTTCATTGATTATTAGCATTTTCTACTTTAGGGCTCATCGCTTGAAAAGATAAAAATAAAAGAATGTCGGAACGTAATTCAATTTATTTGTGCACGTAGAAATAATGGAGCAAGGTTATTGTTCGGCACATTAATTCTGCCTACTTTTTTGGTTTTAATGCTTCAAAACGAGATTTTTGGCCTCTACATACTTTACACTAATTCCACAAAAGTGTAATATAGTTTAGTATGTACAATAAAAGACAATTAGCTGTTTACCGAGCTGTGAATAGTGTCGTGTTTATTTGTCCTTGAAGTGCTACCCAAATCACTCAGTAGATGCGTCTCAGGATGTGAGGCTGGACAACACAGAATCGAGTCCTCTAAGGAGTAGCAGTCCCCTTAAGATTATAAGTATCCTTGGATGACGAGTGCCAAATAACCAGGATCCTAAGTTCTCCTGTCAACTAATTACAACCGCCTAAAATCTCAATAAAATGTGCTTCAATTATCCCATTTCTAACTCGACAGTTGGTTAACAACATAATTTGGTTTTGGAGAGCAGAGTGGATACTTAAACTTCTTTAGAAATATTGATCGTCAGTGTCATGAACAGCACTAAAAATCAAGACATTCACCTGATACAGATCTCAATGTTATTTATACTGGTTCCGAATGATTAAAATGCACAATCGAGATGTCAGATTTAGTGTCACTAAAGTTGGTGGATACAGCTGGTTCGTCTAAGGGAATCTATTTCAAACATTTAGTATACACAGTCTAAGGATTCATCAGGGAACCAGTACAAGATTAGCGTACTATGGAAGCAGATACCTTGCGAAGTCGTATCCTGTTATTGATTCACTAGTCTTTCCAATAATACACATCTGACCACCAACCAAATCTAATTTATGTGTTAGCATTAATAAACGATTGATGTTTGATAGAACTAGATCCAGACATGTGACCTTACTTCTTGATGTCAAGTTTTTGTTCCATTGAGACACACGATTATTCGCCAATAGGTATAAGGCAAGATAAGATAGTCAATGGAACTGAAAACTTACGAAATAAGCATCTGTAGATCTGTACCATTTTGATTGGTCAACTATAATCTTGGAAAATCTCTAAAACCACACCGTGAATCACTACATTTCCTTACGTGAATATTAGACTGACAATCAGTGACCTCACAGACTGTCATTTTATCTTGTTTTGGCTACCCATACTCTCTGTAATATTCATTCCTTCTGCCATCATCACGTGTTTACTTGACATTGGTAACATGACTCGTCTACTTCACTGAAAATATCCACAATCCCGTTAGTTAATTTCTGTTTGATCATCTAAAGACTTAGCACTTTCAGTATTTCTCACTCGGTGGTTTCACTATATACCAGTGCTTTTAATGTATGAGTTAGATCAGTAAGAGGAATAGTAATCAAATTACAGGCCTTGGTCCCTGATATAACGTTTCATATTGCTACGTTTGAAGAGATTACGTTATCATTAAGTTAGCATTTTTGAAAACTGTCGGTAAATGCGTTATTTGACCGGACAACGGGAATTTCAGGGTATAACTGAAAGTTGTTTTTGATGATTTATAGACAATTCAAACGTCCTGGATTAAAAATTATAGGGAGGTACCTTAAATTATTTTAGGTTTGGAAATCATGTTTCACAATGTTCTGTCTACAGACCATATGACACCTACTTCTGATTCCGTGAGTATCGAGATCATACTAAGTTCTAGAAGCAAAACAACAATATTTGGTTGTATACACATTGAGGCGATGCTGTAATGAAAGGCTCAGTCAAAGTAAGATCCAAATACGTAAAAGAACAATATCTTTTTATCAACTTCATGTACGCCATAAATGATAGATGAGTGACTAGAATCAATCCCGCTCAACAGAAATTGTCGTTGTAGATGGGAACTTTAATCCATGGACTAGGCGTCTCTGTGCAACTGCCAGAAATTTGTATGATTAGTGGAAATTTGGTGATGGTAGATAGAATAATAGATTCTATCTTCTACAATTATATCCAAATCGTAATGAAGTTCTATTGAATACAAACTTACGGTTAAATTACTCTTGATCTGTTACTTAGTTTGCTCCTCAATTGGTTATAAATGCATTGCTAAATTATAAAGATTGATCAACTTAGAACTCCATGCCCGACTTCCTATTTCATGACACTAATGAACAACAATTTTTCACACGTACGAAGGCTCTCATTCTTTGTTGGAAGATCAACTATGATATGACGGGATAAAACGGTAGAGTATTTGCTTTGTTTTCCTGTGTGATATTTTATTTAGTATAACATCAGTTTATTTAAGTGTGATTCTTATCCACGATACGTTATTCTTAGATCAATTTAATGTGAATTATATTTAGTATGACAGTCAATATGTGATTTTGTTATAACTCTGGGTATTATCCAAATACGTGATTCTATTCTAATTAATAATCAAAATAGGTGTACAAATCACCATATAAATGAGTGTATTTTCGACTAGAGTCGTCGATGTCTTGTTTTCGAGGTGAATAAATTTTCATTTGTAATAGACTTAGCATTCATAGTTCACGACGCAGGACTTGCAGTGACCCCTCGTTTTTTTTCAAGTATAAGTAATAAGCGACGCAAACAACAAACCAGCAGCAAAGTGAGAGGTGTTATTAATAAGTTTTTATAAATGTTCATTTGAACCATCATTAACTGGAGCATTGAAGAAGCAACAGAGGTTACAACTATATTCGATAACTCACATTCAAATTAACATCTATATTTATGACCAGGTCAAGTGGGAATAAATGAATATTTTTGTCAAGTTGCTTAACATTATTTTCCATCAAAATTCCTATTAAAATTTAGAAATATAGTATATTGTTAAGCCAGTAATAATTAATATAACATTTTGTAATTTAATAGTTGAATTCATGAGTCGATTGAAGCTAGATCACCATGAAAAACCTAGAAGCACTGGACGGCTATTTCGTTCGAGTATGGGATTCCTCAGTAGTGCGCATCCACGATCCCGCCCCGCGGGACTCGAACCCAAGACCCTTTGGTCTCGCGCGCAAAAGATTAATCTCTAGACCATTGATCCGGTATTCAACAGTGTTAATGTCTAACTTCTACCAATTCATGAAATTCCGCTATTGTCTTTAGTGAGTTACCATCTAACAACAGACCTGGTTGAACCCTACTGGTCGCAGCTTCTCTCTAGAACCTCAGGAAATACCCCTTTGAGCCACTCACTAGTGAGCACATGATGATTATTATCAGAAGGGGGTTTTGTAGAGATTTTAGTAATTTAACAGTAGAATTCATGAGTCGATTGGAGCTAGACCGATAGGTTCTGGGTTCAAGTCTCGCGAGGCCGGATCGTGGATGCGCACTACTGCGGAGTCCTTACTCGGACGAAATAGCCGCCCAGTGCTTCCAGGTTTTCATGGTGGTCTAGCTTCAATCGACTCATGAATTCAACTATTAAATTACTAAAACCTCCACAAAAACCCTTGAGATAATAACATTTTGTCCATAAAATAATATCACTAACTAAAATTAATGTTGCAAAATACATAGCTTATGTCGATAGTATTTTTTAAATTGACTTCATTGATAACTACTGGAGGGTAAACACCACCACATTGTTTGTTTTTAAGTGTTCATTAACTAACTTAGGTGACATGATTAATGAAGAAAGGTAAACAAGATGAGGGTAGTTGGAAGGAACTAATAAAGAAACCTTTTATCTTGATAAAATTTGTGGGTCAGAAGAGATATGTGCTCCATTATATAATAGAAATCACATTACTCAACAGGGTAGACAGTGATTCTATTGAGTAGCATTTAAACCACGGTAATTTTCGTATATTTTTAAAATATTAAAATGAATAGTTCTAAAAAGGAAGCTAATGGTTATTATTTTTTGAAATAAAATGGAATAATCTCCTCAATATGCACCTTTTTCTGAGCTATGAACGTTAATAATTTACCTGGCACGAGCTGCATGGTCTACCATTACTAATTGGTGGATGTAACCTGATCGATTTCATAAAATTGTTTCATGAAGGGTTTACTGATGAGGCTGAATCCGCTGGATGTCTTCAATATGTGACACAAGGTGTTCTCACAAACCAACAACGATATTTATTGCCCTTTCAAATCGTGTCCTTGGATATGAACCTAATGGCTATACTAATCTCTATCCTCTTTATTCTCCATGAAATTTCAGTACTACTTTCTCAATTTTTGTAGTTCTTCAAGATCTCAATCAATAATCGAAATCTGCTTGAGACTGTCACAGACATTCAACTGGGGATAGCTGCTTAGGTAACGAAAATATATCCGAACTCGTATAACCTTTGATTGCCACTTCAGATGCCAGTTTACTTAACTGATACTTTTTCGTAACAAATATACCAGTCTAGTTGCTTAAGAAGGAATATAGTAGTGTTCTGTTGTCTATCTGGAAACTACTGAAATTGATACAAGTGGTTACTTCACACTGTGGAAGAGTAATATACTGCTGTCTTCATCATTTCTTACAAATAATTTAGTCACTGCTATCAGGGGGGGGGAACTATCATCAGTTGTTTTCTGATTATCATAGCAAGTATGTTATATGACGCTGTTTTAACAGACTTCAATACTTTTTTAAGCAAACATGGAGATTTTTTGTAACGAG